ATTTATTCGAAGAAGAAAAGGTACTGGGGGGAACAAGTTGGATATGATATCTTCCGCAGATTGTTATATAAAGGGAGCTATAAATAGTGAAACAAAAACGAAAAATGCAAAGTCTGGTTGAACTCTGGTTGAACTATGGTTGATCTTCAGTTGATCTTCAGTTGATCTTCAGTTGTACCAAAAGATAAAACCCCTTTTATGTAACAATGCCTCTAGACTATATAAACACCAAAGAAATCTATCAAAATATTTTTTTTTCTCAATCCTTTACCTGAGCGCCTTCAGCTATAGGATCATTGCCTTCCATTAATCCTTCTACTTACACTCCATTTAATGTAGAGGATAATATGCAGTGATCATCCCCAAACCTTTTATTAGTTTTACCCTTTTCTTAGCCTGTCGACCCTTTCTCATGTAATACTTTAAGAAAAAAAATATATAATAAAGAACTCCTCCGTTTGATTTTTAAAAAATATATGTGTTTATTTTGCTAGTATCGATATTATATTTGCTTTTATTTTCTATTAACAGCTACTCACTTAGGATCGTTGATGTTATTGTACAGGACCTGTTTTGGGAGGATTCAAATACTCCTTCGTGTACAGTAATTTCGTAAAAATAATGGCTTATGACTTAGTTGCCTTTTTTTCATGAATTCGAGATCTGATTGGCCGACCATCTCGTGATATAGGTTACGTATCCGAATTCCAGAAATTTAGTAATACAATGATCTAAATTCCGTATAAATTTGAATCATGTTATTCTTCGGTATAAGTGGGGGCGAAAGCCGAAATAAAGAATTTCTAATCTGTTAATCGATAAAATCGTGCATAATCAAAGATGCTATCTAGCTTCTTCAGAGCGCTACTCCCGAGCAAAATTATGTATTATATATATGAAAAATGTAGAAAAATGTGCTATCCAAGCACTTCGATCTAATTATGCATAAGCACGAATACACATATCAGGCTATTGTCCTGCCAATTTGGCCGAAGGCGCTACATGCATGATACATGCACTCTGTTAGCTAAAGCTAACCGCGTCTATAATTAAACACATCTATTCTATATATCTTTTTTCGTCTGTACCACTAAATTTTATTCTCCCGATCAGCCGATCATCTCGTGATATAGGTAACTTGCCAGTGGGTGTGGAGCTGACGATCATCTACCGTCCACCACGTAATTTTCCGCAACAAAAAAAATGTCTCGTTATTTCGATCGCGATCCTTCAGAATGGAATATTGAAAGCTTTCTAGAGAATTGTGACCAGAAAACAACGAGAGCGAAGCTTGGACTTTATACTACGTGTTTGAGTAAAATCGTTAAGGATGAGAATAGACCAAGGCGTGAAAAAGCACAAATATTACTCGATTCAATTAAAAAGGTGTGTCTGTTAAATTTTTTCTTTAATAATATAAGAAATTGGTGGCGTGGCGATGACCTTTAAGCTCATCGTCATTCTAGCCTTTATGCCTAAGCCACGAAACTAGTTTCGGAGCACAGGTGACCTTTATGCTTGCCTGCTGTAGCCTTTAAGCCGATCCGATTCTAGTCCCATTGGGCACAGGTGACCTTTATGCTTGCCTAGTGTAGCCTTTAAGCCGATCCGATGGGATAGAAATTGTATGAGAACCAGGAACATGTTAGACAAGAATATTATTAATGAACTAAAATTTTCATACTAGGACAAAGCTGTAAGAAAAATGACTAAGGATTGGGAGTTGAACAAACCCATAATTAATGTTCAGAACACATTTTCGGGAGGCACATTTTCGGGAGGCCAAACAATTGGAACTGTCGGCGGTAGAATTTCTGTTACTAAAAGAAATCAGGAAGCGGTACAGATAGGCGTTTTTTAGTTAGAAATTGAGGTTTTTGCATTCCTAATCATTTTAATCTTTTAGGACAATGAAAAAGTTCCCAAACGGACAAAGATAGATGATTGCCTATCCGTTGGTGATCAACGTGGACAAAGGAATGAACAAATTCCCGAACACCAAATCCAGGTAATTATGTTTATGTAATATTTAGTTTGCAGTGATGCTTTTCATAACCTTTTTTTTTACAATTTTTTAATTCAGCCGAAAAAACAATCCATCGAATCAAATGATTTATATGATAGCGAGATCGAAGATGCACAAGAATTTACCCTTACCGACTTTGATATTGCATATAATAGCCTAGACCCGGCAAAGATGTGGACTCTCAAGTCCTCTGGTCGTGTTGTCGAGAAAGTGATCTATGAGTATGCACGAAAATTGACACACGAATCTTATCTGCACTCATTTATAGTCAACGATATTGATGTAGCCACCAGATCATTGTTTTCCAAAGAAGAATGGAAGGAAATCACCACCTCAGAAGTCAAAGATAAGCCGAAACTCGAACATTCTCACGTAGCATTGCTGAAAAAGTACACGACCGACAATATTAAGGAATTACGAAATGCACTTTCCGAACCGCCTGTAGATGGAGCTGAATTTGATCGAAACCTTCATTTTGATTTGGACTTTATTAATTATGCTTATCGAGGAATGTTGTTTTTGTGGGAGAAGGGAGTAGATCCCTTTGACTCAACAAAGTTAGAGGGTTGGTATGAGATGTGCGTTTGGGGTCGCTTAATTGACCCGGCCTTTGATAATTTGGACATTAATTTAGTGCGAGGGGAAGGTATGAGCTTCGCGTCGAGCGACCGGAAGAACATTGAAAGGTCAGTAGCTGATCGAAAAATGATTGGTAGAAAAGGGGATGGTGTTTTTAGACAATATAAGAAGCGCCTAGAATTTGGTGCAGTAGAGGCAGGGCGCAAATGGGAAGGGAAGATAGGTACTAAGTATTTGAAAGATTCATTGAAATTATGTAAAATGTTGAAGGACATGATAACGCAACTTTCTACTGAATGTGATGGAGTAGAAGATCTCGTGAGACAATTGCAAGTTGTCGGGGTTCTTAACGGAGCAAACATGATCCAAATCATTACAATGGATTACCCAAAGGGGTACATTTCTCGTGTTCAACGTAGAAATGTTCGTGAGGTTGCTGGGCGTTTAACTAAATCTGATCCACTTGCTTTAGTTTTGAAAGAGATACTATGCGCAAAATTTATCATCAAACAAACACTGGACATAATAAATAAGAAGAATAATGTTAATATCGAAATATTTCTCAATGATTCTGACGATCAAGGTGGATCTCGCACGCCTCCAACCATTGCAACACCTCCAACTTTCACGACTCCGAGTAAAGAGCGTACTAAGGATGTGATTAATGAAAGAAAAAAGAATAATAATAAATAGTACTAAGTAGTTTGTTATACCGGTGTATTTTATTAAGGGTACACAAAAAATGAATTATTACGTAGAAACTTCTCCATAAATAAAGATTTGCATTTACTGCGCCACATTACTGTGCAAAATGGACACGTTTACATAAATAAAAAGAATTGGTTTACACACATCAGGTTTTATATGTGACTAATAAAGTTTGGGTCTCGTGTTTTTTTTAATCAAATGTAAGACGGTGTATGATTGATCATCAATTCTGAAAAGCATTTAAAGTTTCGAGTCTATTCAATAAGACCCAGTTCTCGAAGATGCTTAGGAATAACTATATATGGGTCTTCGTAATACCAAACATACCTTAAGGCAATCTGGTTTTCTTCGCATAATTCTTTCTTGAGTTGATCCCGTGCTTGCTGTTTGATAAAGTTATTGGGATCGCCTCTATGAAAGAACTTGTTAAATTTTTCATGTTGTTCCCCTTGGACTTCGATGGCAAAACCATAATCATAATATGGAATGTCAAGTTCTAATCCTTGATGATATTCAGGTGTTTTCAAGAAATCAGGTCGGCGTATCTTAGATGGCGGTCCAAGATATTTTGATACTATTTCTCGACAAAGCTTTTCTCGTGTAAATCTCGAACAAAATGGACACCAAGTTCCTTGTCGAATACTAGCAGGAACAGCCTCCCATATATGATTATTTTTACAAACCCATTTCAACTTTATAGAATTATTAAAATACTTATCTGAAAGGCAACCACCACCTTTTTTTTGTGCTAAAGTACGCATATCTTCAAGAGTAAGCCGAGCATTGCCTGCACAATATGGACACCAATTACCCAAATGTTTTATACTAAAAAGTGGTGCACTCCATAAGTGACCCTCAATGCATTTCCATAACAATTTAGAACAATTATTGATATATTCTGTTGAAAGACACTCTCCATTTCGGTCAGATGCAATTTGTTTAGCAATTTCAATAGTGTAAGATATATTACCTGCACAAACTGGACACCATGTCCCTCTTAAAACATCTTCAGAACGAGCTTCCCATATATGAGATTTTTCACAAATCCATTTCAACTTTGTATCTCTATTATAATACTTATCTGAAAGGCAATCCCCTTTTCGTGATCTAGCATGTTGGCGCATATCATCAATGGTTTTTCTGGGACTATGACATGTTGGACACCAATTTTTTCTGTTTTTAATATTGTTAAATGGAATACTCCAAATATGGCCTTGATGGCATTTCCATAACATTGGAGTCTTAGAGTTAATATACTCAGTTGAAAAACATTCTCCATGACGTTTTTTAGCAATTTTACGAGCCATATCTAAAGTTAATTTTTTTGGCATTTTTAATAAAAATACTATATTTTAATTGTAGCAACAGCATCAATTCCCAAACTAAATGGCCATTTCGAACAAGTATTTAAGTATGAAGAGCAACTTCATCCTCGAGAGATCTGAATCGTACACTTCTCCCGTGAAGATTTTGTTGTATCTGACCCATACTGGCCATGCGAAAAACTTCAGGAAAAGGGATTAAATGTCGTCTACTTCTGGCACGATAAGGAGTTTAAAAATGTGAGGATGAGTGCCAGGTTTCGGGATGCTACTAGAAAGTTTTGCGAAATTGTAGATGTGCCTATTCTTTAGCTTTAGCGCTTTTGGCTATAGATGTACTATTATTATTTGTATTATAATAAAACTGACCCTGATGGTCTATTTCACAAATATATGTTCGTGAATTAATAAAAATTTTCTTGGCAAATTTGTGGAACCGCAGGTCTCAGAAAACACGTGATTTTTATTTTTGAATATTAACATAAATAATACTACATTACGTAAGCATGCAATCTGAAATAGATGAGACCAATTCATTGAAAATATGCATTGCCAGGCTCGAAGTCGAGAATGGTAAAATTAAGGCTGAGAACAATAAAATTATGGCCGAAAATTTTGAGCTTAAGGCCAGAGTTGCGAAATTGGAAGATAAGCAAACACAGAACAATGACCATGTATTAATTTAGCGAAATTTTGACTGGGGCATCCCTGCCAAAATGTTTTTTTCTTGTTAACCAATGATCAGGTGTCATGTGAATTTTTGATCATATCACAGTTTTCTAGCAGATCTCTCGTGACATTGACGCGTATAACTATATTCTGGTAGACTTCGTGGCAAAATGCTCTAAATTTACCGAATGCTCAGAATTCTTAGATTCTCAGAATTTTTTATTATCTATACAAAATGACTAATAATATACTTACACCAT